TTCCCGGGCCCTGTGTCCCTGCCCCCGCCTCCGTCTCACCTCCTCTCCATCCTCCTCACCTCCTTCTCCTTCGTCTCCCTTCCCCCATCCCATCCTCCCCTTCCCTGCCATCCCGCCTGACCTTTCAGCTGGCGTCCTCGACCCCTGCCCCAAACTCCATTCCTTTCCTTCGTCCCGCGGTGCCCCTCTTCCCACATCTCTGCCCCCTCCTGTCCCCGCAGCCTCGCCTCCCGCTTCCCTCCATCCGTCTCCCCTTCCCCTAGCCCAGCCTCTGCGCAGCCCCATCGGAGCGCTTCTGGTCCCGGTCCTCCCCATCTCTCTCCTGCGTGGCTCCTTGAGCTGGTCCTCCGTTCTCGCCGCCTGCCCCTGCGTCCCTCCGGCTTCTTTCCCCACCCTCCCGCTCCCTCCCCTCTGCCCCCAGCCCCTCCGACCTCTCCCCGTGGGCGCTTTCTTTCCAGGTTGCCCTGCTCTCCAGGACCTTGACACTCCTTTCTGCACCAGTTCCCCGGGCTGCTTACACCCTCCCCCGACTCCCCCACTCTGTCCCTGGGGCCCTACCCCCATCTTCAGCTTCTCTCGTGCCCAGACCCTGGCACAAAGCACTTATCCACCTCCCTACCTGCTGCTGCTCCATCGGGATGCAGAGCCCCAGCTGCTGCACTGCTTCCTGCGGCAGTGGCAGCAGCCAGGCTTACCTGCCCACCTTCCCATCCTCCCATCCAGACTCATCCTGGCGTGGCTCCTCCTGGCATTTGCCCTGGAGGGGCTCCTGAAGGGGCTGCCCTAGGCATAGAACATCCTGGGGTGTTCCAGGTGGGAAGCCCCTAAGCACCCTTCCTCCCTAGCCACCTGCTCCCTCCCCTCCCCACCCCCACTTTTCTGCTCTGCCTCACTTTGTGATTCAGCATTTTTGGGGTTGGTAACTTTTTTTTACTTCCTGTTGTGATAGGGTCTGGGCTATGGGACTGAAGGCAGGGGGTCTTGACCTTGCAGTTAGCAGGGTCACCTTAGGGACCAGACCTCAGCTGCCTAGTTGGGAAGGGGCTGAGGAGCAGAACACTCGCCAGTGGGGATTGCTTTTTCCTCCCTTTCACTTGTCTGCCCTGTGTTGAACCGTGTCCAAGGGGAGATGACATAAGTAATAGCTCTTGGGGAAATGGGCTATTAGCATTTATGGAAATTAATACATCCACATCCGAGGAGCAAGAACACCAAGTTCAGGCCACAGCTGTCCCACTGTCTGTCGGTTCAGGATTTCTTCTCTCTCTGCAGCTTCTCCTCCCCCTCAAAAACGCCAGCCTGGCCCCCCAACCCCCACCCATCCAGTGCCAAGAGCAAGCTCCTGCTCAGCTGAGGAAGCCGCATTCAGGCCCTGCGTTGCAGGGTTTGGGACCTGCGTGTGCAGAGTCACATCTGCCCACCTGGTTCTTGCTTTGTGGACATGTCTGCTGCAGAGCCTAGGCCCATGTGCAGCTCCTGGGCTCCTGGCCCTGCGCTTTGCAACATGGGGCCCTATGAGTGCCCTTGGCCCCCAGGTCCTGTCCGTCAGTCTCTCCAGGGACAGCTCTCCATGTGTACACTCAGCCTCAAGGGCACTGACAATATTTGACTGCAGCACGTCCCTACCTCGATAGCAGCAGAACCCAGAGCCACTCTGTTTTTCCCTCTCTGCTAAGCCAGTCAACAAATGTTTTGTAGGTGCTGATTAGCACCCAGGGACTGTGGAGGAGGGGGCTGAACCCTTGTCACATGTTTCTTAGTTCAAAACCCTGTGGATCTAGACACAGAGCCCAGATGGGAGGAAGCGTACACAAAACCCACTGCACACAGGAGAGGGACACAGGCCATGGGGGCTGGGGAGTCGGAGAGCCAGAGAGCTCTGTGGGCTGGCCAGCTGGAGAAGGCTTCATACCCTTGGGCTGGCTTGCTCACTCGCTTTCCTTTTTCAATAAGCTTGTAAAACCCAAAGACTCAGGAGGAAGTGAGTGGCACAGAGTTCTGATTTGGCAGTTTGTGGCCAGGGCTTGGGGGTGGGGCCCCTGGAGACCTTCCTGTGTGTGGGTGCCCTGCCGTGGCAACTGGGCAGACAGCGTCTGTGTGGAAGGAAAGTCAGCCGCATGGTGAGAGCCTTTCCACTTCCAGAAACTCTGACCAGGAGTGGCGTGTGTTTGGTCTTTGGCTAAGTTCTTGGTGATCTCCACATCACCAGAGGTCCCAGAATGAAAGTATTTTCCTGGCATCCCTGGATAAGGAGACAGGACAGTAGGCAGCTAAGGGCAGCGTTCCAGAAGGGCCGACGCTGGGGATGTCTAGGGCTGGAGACCCATGCCTCCCTCCATCCCCTCTCCCAGCACCAGGAGGGAGGGAGGTTGATTAGCCTGGATAAGGAAACTGAGGCAGGACGGTGGCAAAAAAAAAAACTGACCCTTGCCTCCCAGCTAGCGAGGACACCTCAGTTCTGTTCCTGCCCTGCCAGGACTCTGTGGCAGGTGCCACCCAGTCGAGCTCCAGCAAATGTCAATAATCCTCACCTCTGCATGAGTGAGTCTCCTTAGTCGCTCAGGAGGGTTGGGATTCGGTCCCAGGCCCCTGAAGGGCATGGACACTCTTCTTCCTCATAAAATGAGAAGCCGTGCACCGTGCTCTTCTGGTGGCAGGCACTCGCCAGGCTCACCCTCTGCTCACTGGGCACTGCCCTCAGCCCGGCCCATCTCTGGAGTAGGTCTGTTAAGAGATGTGCTGTCTTGGTTCAGTCAGTGCTGAGAAGTCAAAGAGAACCGGGCCCTACCCCAGAGAGGCACACACTGAGGGCAAGGTGGGTGCACACCCTAGTCTCCAACCTGTCACTGCTGGGTGGCGGGCGACTTTCCTCTCAGCCTAGGCTTGGGAGGTGCATGAGTCGCCCTGCTCCATGGGCCTGAGCGGCTGCTGGGCTTGACATCCCTTACCACATCCTGGGGCGCTCAGAGGAGAGCTGACCTTCCTCTTCCTGTGCGCCCCCCCCAGGAGGAGCTCTGGGCCCAGCCCCCGCCGCAGGGTGCCCTGCGCCAGCACACCCAGCTTCACCCCTGCTGGACAGGGCCTCAGGAGGCAGCACCCTCCTCGGCCCAGGGACCACGTGGTTAACCCCAAGACCCGGAAGCTTGCGTGCCTGGGGTTGTGTGTGTTGCTCTTCACAGAGCCGTCCTCCCACACCTGTCCTGCCAGCTTCCCAGACACCTGCCCCCCTTGAGCTCCGTCGTTGCATGCAGTCCCTCTCTGATGTCTTTCCAGCATGTGGGCACCTACACAACCACCCATCTTGATGCCATGCTGGCTGCAGATAAAGGAGGAGTGGGAGAAGGGAAAAGTAGAGAAAGATGGGGATCTGCCACCTCCTGCACTTGGGCAGGGTTAGAGGGCTTTTCCCACTGCAACCTTGAACCCTGGCTGCTGAGTGGTTGAGATCCGTCGTCCTCCCAGTAACTGGATACTGCACGTGTGTCTTCTCAGAGCCTGCGCCGGAGTCAAAAACAAACCTGCAAACTGCTCGTCATGGGGCTGGTTTCGTGGAGCGACTACTCGGGTCCTGTGGACCCCTCAGTCTGGTCCCCAGGGATCCTCTGTCACCAGCTCTTCACCCCGGTGGAGAGTTAGTTCTCCAGGCCTCTGGCTCTCTCGCCCTCTAAACCCAATGGCTTCGTTCTCCTGTCTCCTTTATCTGGATGGATGAAATGACACCTCTAGAGTAGAGGCCTGGGCAGAGTCCAGGCATGTAGTGGGCGCTCTGTGATTATCTACTCCTCCCACTTCCAGTTAGAAACTGAGCCCTAGCCGTCATATTGCGGGAGCCCACCCAAGCCCCAGGAACACTAGAACAGAGGGACTTGAGTTTCCTTCTGAGCTATTTCCTGAGCCCACTCAGGGCTCCACAGAAGAGGCCACCTGCTCCTCCGGAAAGGCGAGGGAGAGCCCAGCTGACTGCTTCGCAGGAGACGAGGGAGAGGGAAGGGAGGCAGGGAAGGAGAAGAGAGGGTAGGAAGGGAGAGCCTGTGGCCCTGGCCCCTCTTACTTCAGGCCTCCCGAGGGCCCCAAGCCTGCCAGACATCCATCTGAATGACTGCCGGCCTCCTGACTGCAGCAGCCCCGCATTGAGGGGGACCACACTCCAAACATCCTTCGTTCACCTCCGAGGTGTTTTCGTCTTCCATCCCTCAGCAGCGTTATAATCTTTCAGCAGGAACCCAGACCCATCAGTCCACAGGCTGCAGCCCAGGGAGAAAGATCTAGAATTCTGCCTTGGAGCACTGCCATCCTGAACCCTGAGTGGTAGCAGGGGCTCTCTGGAAGTACTCTCCTCACCACCCCTTTGAGGTGCAGGAGGGTCAGAATAACTGGAATGCATGCCCAAGAAGATTCTGATGAATCCATTTATTAGGAAGTAAATTTAAATCTGAAACTTTGTTTAAAACCCATAAATACCAGTGATGGGCAAAGGCCTTTGCAGCAGACATGTGCAGGACCATTGATGAGCCAGACCCTCTCACTTCTGTCCTCTTTAGGGCCAAGGGCTAGGAGAGGGATGCACATGCCACATGCCCAGAGAGTCAGAGAAAACTCCACCGATGGTGAGGAGAGATCGGGGCAGGGAACGTGTGCCCCAGACTTTGAACAACAGGCAGGTTGTGATAGGCAGAGCTGGGAAAAGACTGTCGGGGAGAGGGCCCTGCAGGGGCAAGGCCACAGAGGGAAGACTGGCACATTGGGCAGTGGCAGCCAGTGTGATGGTGGCGGGAACGTAGGTATGGGGAACAGCAGGATGGAAAGGAGGGCACCGAGGCTGAAGGCACAGGGAGCTGGACAGTGGCGGATGAGGAAAGGAAACAGCGCCAGGAGCCTCTCAGGCCTTGCTCGCTGGGTCCACGTGGCCTGCACAGACAGAAGGAGGCAGGGCAGGGAGCAAGGCTCTGGACAGGAAGTGCCA